GAGATTTATCTGATCCCTCTCTGACCCAGAGAATATTGAGACCTCCTGGACACGTCTTGTTGTCAGAGTCAGAGAAGACTGAACACTGGAGCGTCATTGTGTCTCCTGGTCGGACTGGATTTGATTCTATCAGTAACTGACTGACTGCAAAGTTTGATGTCCTCTGAGCTTTTCCTGTGTAATACAAATCACATTTTTCCAAACATGCATAGAAAAATTTTCAAAGTTTGTAAAAGTAGGTTGGCTTATTACCTTTTACTAACAAATACATCCCACCCCATGTAGTTCCAATCCATTCTGTGTTTGTACAATGATAGTGAGCCTCATCCTCTTGAACTGTCTCTAAAATGGTCAGGCTGCTAAAATTTGCATCATTATTTATCCGAAATCTTGAGCTCGAAAATCCAGGACTAAAATCAGCTTTAGACTGAATCAGAGTAACTATTAATTTAAGAGTATCCCCGACACTCTGCTTGTACCATTTGACTCCTCTAACGCTGAGCTCTTTGGGAATAGCGCATGTCAAGGTTGCTGGTTCACCAAGCTGAACAGTTTCAACTGGAACCAGAGAGTCTGAAATAAGAGAAAACAGAAAAAATAAACTTTTTTTGCTGTGGTAACTTTCCATTGTAAAGCTAGTTTAGTCTGTGCAAATGTATTTGACATATAAACATTTTTAGACAACTTTTTTAAAAATGCACTTACATCCTTTGTGAAGACAAAATAATGTAATCCATAGGACAAGCATTTTGACAGTGTTTCTTGTTGGGGACCTTACTGGTATTTTAGTGAGTGAAGGCGGTGAGATGTATTCAGATGACAAAAATGTATCTGATTGGCTGAGAGAATAGATTCAAACGTACACTTAAAGTACCTCCTCCTGCGCTTTGTAACACCATCTCTCTTTCATGTTCTATTGCAATTTTCCAGATTATTCAGTTTTTACGTTTGACTACTTTTGAACGCTGTTTATTTGATGTTTATTCTTGTTCTTGGATCTTATGTAAAAAATACCTCAAACATTTCACACTCTGCATTTCAGAGCAGGTTGGGTATTTTATAGTTCAGAGGTCATGACACCCCGAAGTGCTGAAGAGCAGGGTGAACCAATGTTTCTTGGCCTAAGGAGATGGTTTAAGCTCCTATAAAAAATAATAACCAATTGGTAATTTTTGTAGCGAATTTAATTAGCATTAATGAGATATGTCAAGAGAAGTCTCACTCGATAACCCCACGGTGGAGCTAGAGGTAAATCCAGAATGATGCTGAGCATAAGCTACATGATTTTTTAAATTAGAATATGGATGTTTTCTTTGCATCAGCTGGCTTGACAAAACCTATGAACCCAATAATGGGTATTGTAATGAGATAATATCAACTCTTTATTGGTCAAGACAGCCTTTTTTCCTGACCTATTAAAAACATCCCATCTATTTCATGAGCTGAGATGATGAACAGGTGCAGACCAATGAAAGATTAGTCTAAAAATATATTTCAACTCATGGAGAGAAAGAGAAATATTAAAATAGTAAATATATATCAGTAAATCTCAATTTTTCACTCAGTGTATTGTCAATACCTGCTGTTCATTTTTAGGTGAGTAATTGGTCAGTAAGACAAGGAAGTGTCTTACCGAATCCCAGATTCATCCCAGATTAATACCGGATCTCCGAACCACCTCTGCTGTCTCCTTATGATGGAGAAAGGTTCTAGGATTGAGTTCTGATATGCTCTGGGAGCTCTTTTCTGCTCTCTATATCTGTGATCTAACTGTTTTAGTCATTACCCAAAATTTGTGCCAATAAATAATCCACAGAATCCAGAATCCACAGTTTTGCTTTCATGGCCAGCTCTCTATTTAGAATCAGAATCAGAATCAGATCAGAATCAGAATCAGAAAGGGTTTTATTGCCAAATGTTGAGCAGGTTTACAACATTAGGAAATTGCTGCGGTGCTTCAGTGCAAACATACTGTCATAAATTACGCTTAAACAGACATGAAAAAAATAAATAAATAAAATAAAAATAAGAATAAGAATTAAAAGTGCTAGTAGAAAGATATATACATGAGTGCAGGTGGTGATCAGTGCCAAAACATGGAATGATGCAGTGAACACAGCGTAGGGTCATGTGTTAGTGGTGGGAACAGTCGTACGTTTATTGTTCATGTGTCCAACAGCAGAGGGGAAGAAACTGTTCTTATGGCGAGAGGTTCTGGTGCGAATGGACCGGAGCCTCCTGCCTGAGGGGAGCAGGTCAAACAGACTGTGTCCAGGGTGAGAAGGGTCAGCTGAGATCCGAGCTGCACGCCGCAGTGTCCTGGAGGTGTACAGGTCCTGCAGAGATGGGAGTCTGCAGCCAATCACCTTCTCAGCAGAGCGCACAACACGCTGCAGTCTCTGTTTGTCCCTGATAGTGGCTCCAGCGTACCACACGGTGATGGAGGAGGTGAGGATGGACTCGATGATTGCGGTGTAGAATTGCATCATCGTCCGTGTTGGCAGGTTGAATTTCTTCAGCTGCCTCAGGAAGTACATCCTCTGCTGGGCTTTCTTGATGACGGAGGTGATGGTGGGCTCCCACTTCAGGTCCTGGGTGATGGTGGTACCCAGGAAGCGGAATGAGTCCACAGAGGTGATGGGGGTGTCAGTCAGGATGATGGGGGGGAGTGGGGCTGTGTGCTTCCTGAAGTCCACAATAATCTCCACTGTCTTCTGGGCATTCAGCACCAGGTTGTTGTGGCTGCACCAGGACACCAGACGTTCAACCTCCCTCCTGTAGGCAGACTCATCCCCGTCCGAGATGAGTCCGATAACGGTGGTGTCATCTGCAAACTTGATTAGCTTGACGACTGGT